TATATGGCTAAGGTTCCGTGAATTTTTCATGTAAGTCAGCAAAACCTCGCAGCGCCCCTCTTTGTCGTCGTTCCAAGCACTTGCGTCCCTAGTTTCCTTCCGCTTTCTCGCGGTGGCGGTCCCGTCGAGCGTGTCTACTTTCCGCTGGGTGGCAAATTCGTCGCGTGTGTCTAGCTTCCTCCGGCTCCTCGGGGCGGCGATAGTCGTCCACGCGAATGTAAATTAAAAAGAAACAAAAAAACAACAAAAACAACAAAAACAACAGAAAAACAAGTTGCCGTTCTCCAGATTCACTTCTTTTCACTCGTCGTAATGAGGAGGTCGCATACAATCCGGACTCCCGAAGAGAAACGTGCCTACGACGAGCAACGGCAGGAACGGCAACGAGAATGTCAGCGACGGAGGCGGGTGGCAAACACCACCGATGAAGATCGCGCTCAAATGTGTTCCTACTTTTGATAAAAATTCTGTGTCACGTTTGTGTCGTGTGTTAAACAGCTTCGCTGGTCATCCACCTCCGCAGAGTGGAGTGGCTCATGACTTCTCTCCTGCTTTTTGCTTGAAGTCGTACGACCAACCGACAGGATCGCGACATCTGACGGCTTGACACTCAGGCTTTTGGGATATCATTTTCTGGCAGTTCGAGACCTCCTTGAATGCATGGGCGGAGTATGACGCTAAACACACGGAAACGCGTTCCATGCACCGTAAAAGTGGGTGCGAGTGTGGAACTTTCAACCGTGCCTCCATAGTTATTATTTCTTTCAAACGAAAGCACGTGCTTATCTAAGCTCACCAAAAAAACTCCAGATAACAAGGCGCAGTGCTGAACATTCAATGCAGGACGCGGACTGGACATAAGTCAGCGTTCGGCTCAAAGTCGGGTTCAGTCAGTGAGGACTTGAAGCTCAGCCTTACCCTGACGACGCACTTGTGTCGAATCATTACCCCTCGTTTGCCTCTTTTGGTGACGCAGAAAAGTCAGTCGTCCGGCCTTGTTTATGTAGGAGTTGGGCTCATGCTCGTGTGATTTTGACTACAGTGTAGGCGGTTGGGGGATTAAGCGTAACAACTAGATCTCGTAGTGATGTCCACATTTCTTAAGTCTTCTACAGTCCAGAAACTTACAGCCGGGGAAAAAAGTTAACTTCAGTGGCCCTGTTCTTCTGCTACATGCAAGAAAAAGTGTTAGAAGCGTTATGGTTATCGAAGATGTTTCCCAGAGGTTATTAGTGAAGGAAAGACGCGCCGATATAAACCACGGACCAAGGTAAGAGGGACAAGGCAAAGGGCTGCTCTTCCTTAGCAACAAACCTTCTGGCCCAAGTAGCCACCTTACTGTAGATCATTAGTCGTGCACGTTAACGTTTTATAGGAAATTACTTAACATATCAGTGAACCCAAATGAAAAACGCGGTGGCTTAGCTCGGCTATGCCAGGATATACGTAGCGTGAGCTTATGCGCACAAAATGAGGAGCGCAACCAAGCGGCCGCCCCAGGGCAGGAACCCAAAAAATAACTTCCAATTTTGTATTCCTCTAGCAACACTTAATTTATCGCTAGGGTGATCGGTGGTCCAGTGGACGTGGAGCACGTGGAGAGAAAGCTCGCGCTGCAGAACCCAGTGATCCTTGCTTCAATTTCCCCACGGCCAGTTTCCATCTGTATGAGCATCGTAGCGGCATGCGGTCGTGTATCACTACAGCGCGGTGCACGTTAAACATCTCGGGCTAGCGGTTATGCTGCACTGGCTAAATTTCTCATCTACAGCTGACAGACAAGTAGCCCGTTGAGGCATACTAACTCTATACGCATGCACAAAATACACAAATTGTTTTAGAGCGCACCTCTTAGGCACCCGTTCCCGGGATAAGCGGCGTCGGCTTCGGCGACGCCGACGTTGCTTTTAATATTATGCGTTGCATTATGGAACGTTTCCCATAATGATGTTACACGTGACTAAGGGCCTCACATCACGTGACGTCACGCTAAATTTAGCGGGAATATTTTAGCTGAAATGTTTCCGCTAAATTTAACGGGGCAATTGACGTCACGTGACCTCACTGTCGATTCAGTTTCCCCGCTAAATTTAGCGAAAACATTTGCTAAATTACCCCGCCGAATTTAAAGGGAGTATTTCCCCTATAAGTTTAGCGGGGAAATGTTTGCTTAATTTAGCGGAAAATTTAGCGCACATTTTCCACTAAATGGCAGGGGAGCAGGAAAGGAGAAGGGGGGTGGGGGTACGGAGGGGGAGCAGGGACATACCCTCCCTTCCGTGTCCTCCCATCCTCCTCCTAAAGAGCTGCGCTCTAATTTGGCATGCCAGATAATTGTAAACGTCTTTTTTTTAATTATCGCTGCTAATGCAGATGTCTGACAACTGCGGGGGCACACCTGATCTCTAAACTAAGCCTACACAATAGAGCGTAATCTCCAACAACGTATCAACATGCTGCACTGTTGAAATCACTCAGTATGCGAAACATTCAGCCTAGCTTCGCCTAATCTACCATTGACAACACAAAGTACAAGGGCATTAAAAATCTTTTTTGTATTGACAACAGACGAATTAAAGGGACCATGAAATGTCCTTTTTACTTTTTCCAGACAACTTTTACATTAAACCGTCAATGTTCACTGAATGCCGAACAGGTATCCGTTTTCGTCTCGGTTTATTAACTTCTACACAAAAAATTAATGAAATATCGACTTTTTCTTTCTCTCCAACTGACCGCAAAACAAGCCGTGACGTACGCTGTTTCCGGAACCGGAAGTTCTCTCGGCAATAGGAGAATGGGAGCGTTAGCGGCGACGAGTTGGGGTGCGCCGGTAGGTTTTACTGCGCTGATGTCACCGACGTATTTTCTGAATCGGCGCCTCTCATCGCCGCATTGCAGCTGAACGAAATTCAATGAGATATGTTGCGCTACAGCTACAGCATGGGACTAGTCCCATACGCCGGTATGCCTGTTGGGAAGTGCCACGAGTCTTCCGGTGAAGACTCCAGAAGTCAACCCAACTGTCATTGTTGGTAAAAGGCGGCCCGTGTCAGTCGTTTGCAAAGCGGCGTAGATGGAAACAAATTGCCGCGGCGTTTTTCGCGGCCTCGGAGATGCAGGAGCGAGCCGACGTTAAAAAAAGATACGTTTGAACTACTAGTGTCAGCAAGAGCCACGTAAATACCTGTTCACACTCGTTGCGAATGCGCGCGTTTGATGGAAGTGCTGTATTCTCGCTGTTGGTAAGCACTTCGGGACCGATCTTTTACGATTGCAACTCGACACTGACGCGACACTCGGCAAAGAAAGGTTGAACCGGCATTGCACGTATACCTCCCACGAACTGTTATAGCTCGACAGTGACGTACAGTCTGTCAAAATAAAAATGGCATACCAATAACGAAGTGTACATACCGTGTTACGAAGGTAATCCTTACGGCGTTCATTTCAACTCTATATCACACAAAACAAGAAGATAGAATCGACGAGAGTCCCTTTTCGACGAGTGTTCGTCAACACTGCCTCGGAAAACAAGGGGAAGAGATTGACCTCACCTCTTAATCTAAAATTGAGGTCAGCGATCAAACTATAATACGGGAAGGGTCCACAAGGGTAGCGCGGGCATATTCCATTCAGCACGCCAGCCGGTCGTAGGCAGACGGTCTTGCGACGAAGCAACGCTGCGCCGAGTCAGAGTGCCTGCTAGGCCTATATTCTGAGCAGCTCGCTTCGTCAGAGTCGGTGCATTCGTGTCCGTTGTCGCTTTTCTCGGGTGTTTGTGGATCCAGCGTTCTTGTTCGTCGTGGTCTGTTTTAAGTACTTTTTTTCTTGCTGCTTGAAGTCGGCACGCGCGAGAAGAACACGTAGAAAAATAAACGTTCAGTCAGTCAGAGTTTTGAGAGGAAGGAAATCAAAGGAAATAATGTTTGACAAACGTCGCGACCTAAGCGACCCAAGTAACTGAAGTCGGCCCTGCCCTACTGAGCACGCCCAGTAGCTGTTTCGTTTGCCACACGATAGATGGCGCTTGGCTCTCAGCATTATCAAATTTGGCAATTTTCGCCACACATCTCTAATTATGCTACAAAATGTGGATCTGAATATTATTTAACAAAACTTTAAGGAAACATTCGCCGGCTATTTCTTGTTTACGATCGCGGTGCTGGTGAGGTAGGCTCTTACCCAATAGGCGACGTGGATTCGGTTAACGTGCTCCGTTTCCGCGGATGCATCGTAGTGAAAAGGCCGAAAGCTTTCGAAGGAAAGAAGGTGCAAAAGAGTCCAGTTTTCTTTTAAAAGTTCTATAGCAGATAATTTTTTTGGGCTCCCTATTTTTGTGTTTTTGTGTTTCTTTTCACACCTTTTACGACGTGCGGTGGATGAAATTCAATTTTAAAATCATTTCATGGTCCCTTTAAGGCAAGACTCTTGGGTGCTGATGTGTTAATTTCTGAAAATGGGGAGTCGTTACTAGCTGGAATCTTCAGGTATACTCATTTTATTAATTGCATTTTTTTGGGATGATCACACAAGTATTTTTTTAGTTAAAACCAGGTTTGCAATGTGATAGCTAACCTAATGCTGCAGAGTAAGTAATTTAGGAATAGTGTATTTACTTTATTATTTTATTAAACGAGTTGGAAATGTGAAGTACACTGCAATATAAGTGCAATACCTAATTTTTTAATGTTCCAAATTGTTCTGCTCAAAGATGCAGTTTAGATATCGCATCATTGCCATTATTACCAAGATGTGCCTCGAATACATAACAATTACATGCTCGTCATTTTACACTACAGCTAGTACCAGCTTGTGTGTTTTTATGTGTAATATTGTCCTTCGTCTTAAGGTCTTCGTATAAGACGCCCGACGTTTTTCTTACATGTACTTCAATATCTTCATGTTGTTTATTTAAAATGTGTTGTGCCATGTCGAATTTACACAGTACACAGATTCGAAGGTTGACTCTCCTTTAATAGCCTCCTCATCTCAGTTTCTCCCCAGTACACCAAGTCAACATTGCAATGGAGGCGACAAAGTGGCTGTTCCAAGTTGTGGACGGTACTAAGCTTCCACTGGGATTCGATCCAGACAACTTTCGATCATGCCTGAAGTACGAGCCTTCGAAAGAAGACATTTTTATCGACACCTTCCCGAAGTGCGGAACTAATTGGATCAAGCGCATCGTTCAGCTCCTACTTGGCAGGGCCTCATCCCAGGAGAATGATTATGGCCTTTCAACTTCCTTCCTTCAAATGGTCGGCAAAGATGTCATCGCTTCCCTTCCCCGCCCCAGGATCATCACCTCCCACCTCGAACACCAACTGCTGCCCCAGCACACTTGTGCGAAGTACATTTACGTCGTCAGGAACCCCAAAGACTGCTGCACATCTTACTATCATCACACGAAAGCAACCAAAATCTACAATTTCGAAAATGCTACTTTCGACGAGTACGTCCAGATTTTTATAAACGGTGGAACGACGTTCGGAGATTATTTCAGCCATCTGACGTCCTGGTACCGTAACAACCACGCTGACAACGTCTTGTGTCTCACCTACGAGGGCATCACGAGGGATCACGCTGGGTCAGTGCTGCAAATCGCCAAGTTCTTGGACCTAGACGACCCCGAACTTCTAAATCCGGCTTCGAACAAGTTTAAGAGGGTCGTTGACATGAGCAGTTTGGAAGCAATGAAGGAGTACTTCAACGTAAACTACAAGAGGGCTTTGGGTGGCAAGCCTCCGGAAAGATGGACGGCACGGAAGGACTTTCCCCTTAGTAGGGCCCCTCCTCCGCCCAGTGTTCTGGTGCGCAAAGGCGTCGTTGGAGACTGGAGGAACCATTTCAGCAAAGAGAACTCTCGCAAGATTGAAGAAGCCTTCGTGCAGAAGTGCGGGCATGTTGTGAAGCACGAGATGCTCTGGGATCCGAAAGATTGGATGGAAAATATGTGACAATACAAACTGCGCTTAGTTACTTAGTAATATTACGTTATTTCCAGCGCGCTAAAGTTGTAGATTAAAAGGCTTCTCTCCCATTCTCCTAAAATATTGTGCTACTTCTCAGTACATTAAGTGGCGTCAAAGTTGCACGCCGTTATGCCGCGTGACTTCACTTGACGTCGAAAACGGCATAGTGCCATCTGAAGACAAAATCAAGGTTTGAACACAGATCGTTCGCTGTGCAAAGTAGTTCTTACAAAAATCGGTTGCCATGAAGATAACAAAGAATTCTTCACATGTTTAAGAGGTGTACATAAAACAACAATAACAAAAATAACTACAGGTACTTGAAGCACATCTAAGTATTTTATTTCACTACATAAAGCAGGAATGTTCCTCTGAGGTGCAATGCTTCCAATCTTCTACCACGCCTTTCCTAGAATGTTAATTGACTTATTTTTCATGCTGTAAAACTTTTGTGTGTTAAAGTTGCAAGAGCTTATTCTTTGTTCGAGTTTCTGAAGCGAAAAACAAGTATAGTAAATCTCGGCTTAATTTTGACACAGGAAAAAATCTAGGGGATACAATACTGTCCATGTAGAAATAATATCCGCAACAAAAACTCTAAACAAAATTGAAGCAAAGTTAGGGGCCGTTATACCGTAATATCCACTTAAATCCGTGTAAGCGTCCCAGTTTGGCCGGACCACATTTTTCATTTTCCGCACTCAGTTGGTATTGCATGAACTAGGCAAAAACACTGTGGTGCAATACTTTGTTCCCACGTAGCACGCCAGAGGAATGCCCAACTTGGGCAAAGGTCTGGCAAACATAAGGGCCCTACTTTGGCGCAGTTAGGTTCTTACACCATGGCACTCATCAGTGCCAAAGTACGGTGCCTAACTATAGCCTTAGTTGGGCGATCCTAGGGCATGCCAAAGTTTGGCTTTTCTCTGGTACGCCAGGGGAGTGCCAAAGTTGGTGCCATACTTGAGCCATAACTGCCATAGTAAATCCTTATCTGAGAATTGTGATCATGGCAAGGCTTGGCGTTTCTCTGGTCCGCCAGAGGAGCGCCAAAGTTAGTGCCATACTTCAGCCATAACTGCCAGAGCAACGCCTAATTCGGGTTTTTCGGACACGCCAAGGTTTGGCGTTTCTCTGATACGCCACAGGAGTGCCGAAGTGTGCCACACTTGAGCCATAACTACCAAAGGAACGCCTAATTTCGGTATTTCGGCCACGCCGAGTTTGGTTTTTCTCTGGTCCGCCACAGGGGAGTGCCAAAGTAGTGCCATATTTGAGCCATAACTGCCAGAGCAACGCCCAATTTGGGTATTTCGGACATGCCAAAGTTTGGCGTTGCTCTGGTCTGCCAGAGGAGCGCCAAAGTTGGTGCCATACTTGAGCCATAACTGCCATAGTAGATCCTAATCTGAGAATTCGGGGCACTCCAAGGTTTGGTGTTTCTCTGGTCCGCCAGAGGAGCGCCAAAGTTGGTGCCATAATTCAGCCATAACTGCCAGAGCAACGCCCAATTTGGGTATTTCGGACATGCCAAAGTTTGGCGTTGCTCTGGTCCGCCAGGGGAGCGCCAAAGTTGGTGCCATACTTGAGCCATAACTGCCATAGTAAATCCTGATCTGGGAATTCGGGGTACGCCAAAGTTTGGCGTTTTTGTGGTCCGCCAGAGAAGCGCCAAGGTGCCATAATTCAGCCATCACTGCCAGAGCAACGCCTAATTTGGGCATTTCGGACACGCCAAAGTTTGGCGTTCTCTAGTACGCCACAGGAGTGCCGAAGGGTGCCATACTTGAGCCATAACTATCAAAGCAATGCCTAATTTTGGTATTTCGGCCACGCCGAGTTTGTCTTTTCTCTGGTGCGCCACACTTCTGCCAAAGTAAGTGTCATACTTGAGCCATAACTGACGCAGAAAATCTTAATTTGGTGATTCGGGGCTTGCCGAAGTTTGGCTCTTCTCTGGCTACCCACTGAAGTGCCAAATAAGCGCCAAAAGTTGCAAAGAAAGCCGAGATGCCTGCCCAAGCTTTGAATGTGTCTGGTGTGTCACCGAAGTGCTTTTTCACGCGTCCCAGAAGAGAATTAAATTAAATAAGCGTTGGAAACACGGTGGTAAGATGTCATCACCTCCGTTCCCAAGGCTCACAGCAACACTTTGCGGTATCGTGTCAGTGCCGGCCGAAAGTCGGTTCCAATATCGCTCAAATGTGCAGTTTTGCACCACCGTCTGATATCCAGCAGGTATTGCGGTACAGGTCTTTTGCCCCGGCCTAGCGTTCGCGCAATATTGTGCGAATACTCTACGATGCGTCTGCTCCGTATTGGCCGAACGTCGTGCAAGTATGTGTACGATGCATATCATTTGTTGCATATCCAATCACATATACAGACAAACAATGTTTTTTCGATCGCTCCCAGATGTTTATTAAACCATTATCATTACACACACTGTATTCTCGACATATTTACAAAGGTCACACTTCTCTGACTCTGTAAAACGAGAAGCAAACTATAAAATAGAATTAACACTGTCCTCATGCCAAGCAAAACTCATCACACAAAAAACCGCGGAGGTTGAGAGGAAAGCAGGACTACTATCAGAAGAATGCTTTCGGTGTACTTACTAATAAAAGAGCGACATCATCTAATCCTTGATAGATGCATAATCCAACTCAGGCACCCCACAAACACATTCGAGAAAGAAAGTTGCGCACGGTCAGCTGACGTCTCGTCGTCAGCGAAGAGCAGTTTTTGTCAAAGCGTGTCCAACAAACAGATAGAAAGAATTCCACAAACTCCGGTGAAAAAAATGGCCCTTACCGAAAAATTGGCATGGACGTATTCCGACTCTTTACGACGAAAAAACACGGCCGCGTCCGCAATACACGAAAGCAACAGAACACTTAAGAGCGCAGTTCGAAAACCGGACCTACGTGGCCCGCCTATTTCTCTAACTAGGTAAACGGCGAAAATAACATTCCCAGAGATCCCATCAGCGTGACAGAGAAACTAACATGACAAATTTTCGTCCAAACGTTTTTGTCCTGCGCGTCCTACGTGGAGAGGTCACACCGGGTCACGTGTTTCGCTCCACCCTTTTGATTTGCTTAAAGCGGCTGTCGCGCTCGCTGACACCCACACGAAAACACAAAAGCAGGTGGGGAGGATTTGCAAAAGGAGAGGCCATTTCTGCCGGTGACCTTGCCGCCTTGCCTAATCTGTCAGCGTTCGGCTTCCATTTTGGGCCTCGGAAAGATAATCTCCTTTCTTAATGCTTATGTTTTGCGGGCTTGTCGCCGTCCAATAGGCCTCAATTATTTCTCGCCCGACTCGCTCGCAGTGGCCTGCCATGGCTGTCGTGCCAGCGAAATTAGGAGCGCAGCCAGGACATTTTCTCCCGTTAATGACGATTGGGTGCTTAGAATCCAAAGCAGCTCTTTCGGCGTCCATTTGATGTTCTCGCAGTCGGTTGTTGAGGCCAGGCATCGCCCCGTTTGTCCGATGTACCTGGCCCCGCAGAACAGGGGGATCGCGTAAACTTCCTTCGCTTCCTCTCCTTCCGCCAAGATTTCCCTTCCCGGTGCTCCCACGGAGCGGGCGGGCTTTGAGCTTGAAGCTGAAAATAAATGTTTGTTAAAGTTGAAAGATTGCCCTGTTTGTATCGTCCCTTTTGTGTCTCCACTTTCTAAATGTTTAAAAATACCAATACGCTAAAATATAGTACAAGTTCCGGGATTTCATTTTCATTCCCCAAGTGTGATGCGGGAACCGCGCCACGGAACCCCGGTCGTTTCCGCTCTTTGTTATCGCTAGGATTTGACAGTGCTCAATCACACTGCAAGACACGCACATAGCAACGCTCGCTTTTGCAATGCGGCGCCTAATAATGATATCTCTTGTGGAGACGTGCGCACATCAGTCTCGCGCAGTGCTAGCTCAATGTCAGAACTTTCTGTAAAGGCGGATTCACACCGAGGATGTAAGCAGTCGAGCGATCCGACTAAATCTCATTCCAAGAAAAAGGTAATTAGATGGTCAATCTGGCCTGCGCGATGAGCGAGTCCAACGACTTCGTTGGCGAGTCGCTTCTCAAAAACTCCAGCTCCGAACGCCGTTGATTGGCTCAGCCTCTCCGCGACTAGAGCGCATCGCAAAAAGTCAGGCCAGCAAACGACTGCTCAAATCCCGTCGCTTTTTGCCCGCGATGGTCGCTTTTGCGATGAAAGTTATCGCGCGACTCTATCGCATCGCCGGTGTGAACGCACCTTAATGTCGAACCAGTCTCACGGCGCGTCCCGATATTGGCGTCTGTACCTGCGCGCGAGTACAACATCCGGCACAATTTGCGTTTGCGAAGCCTGGTCCAGCAGCGTCAAAACATTTAGCCAACCTTTGGACTGGAGAAATGAAGAGACACCCAAAATAAGATAAAGTTGCGAGGCGAATGAAACTTCACTTCTATTTAATTAAGATTACGACCAACCGCGTACATCAAATACCTCATCAGCCGAACTCCAAGGCAGTAAACCTAGTTCTGGCACTTGTTTGGTAACTTTGGCCCGTAGCTGCCAGATGACAGCCGAACTATCGGGAAGCGGAGCCTAACTTTGGCACTTGTTTGGCGACTTTGGCCCGTAGCTGCCAGATGACAGCCGAACTATCGGAAAGCGAAGCCTAACTTTGGCACTTGTTTGGCGACTTTGACCCGTAGCTGCCAGATGACAGCCGAACTATCGGAAAGCGAAGTCTAACTTTGGCACTTGTTTGGCGACTTTGACCCGTAGCTGCCAGATGACAGCCGAACTATCAGGAAGCGAAGCCTAACTTTGGCACTTGTTTGGCGACTTTGACCCGTAGCTGCCAGATGACAGCCGAACTATCGGAAAGCGAAGCCTAACTTTGGCACTTGTTTGGCGACTTTGACCAGTAGCTGCCAGATGACAGCCGAACTATCGGAAAGCGAGGCCTAACTTTGGCACTTGTTTGGC